ATAAATATTAATTTTGAAAAGACTTTAATATTACTTTCTAAAAAGATGGGTGATTTTCTTTTTTTTTTGGTTGGTGGTTTTTAAAAGCAACATTGCTAGGCTCTGAAAGCCTTCCTAAACTCTTGAAACAGTTTGACTTTTTTTTTCTAAAAACAACATTAAATCAAAAAATATCTTCTTTTTTTTGGCTACACTGTGCAGCTTATAGGTTCTTCATTTCCATCCAGAGATGGAACTTGTATTCCTCCAGTGGAGGTGCAAAGTCCTAGCCACTGGACCACCAGGGAAGTCCCACACTTTTCAAGATTCTTGACATATTAGTTTAAGCCAAAAGATGCCTTAGCATTCAGTAAAAACTTAGCCAAAATTTCATCGAAAAGAAATTTGTATTTTAGCAATGTCTTTTTCAGTATTACTCTCACTGTGTTATCAATGTTAGTGTTAGATAAATAGAATGGTTGTATAAGTATGGACTTCCTTTGTGGCTTAACTGGCAAAGATTCTGCCTGCAGTGCGGGAGAACTGGGTTAGATTCCTGGGTTGGGAAGATCCTCTGGAAAAGGAAAAGACTACCCACTCCACTATTCTGGCCTGGGTCGCAAAGAGTCATACACGATTGAGTGACTTTCTCTCTCTCTCTCTCTCTTTGGTCATATAAAGATAGCAGGAATCTCAAGAGGTCTCAACACAAGCTCTGAATCTAGGTCTTATTGGCTAAATGGCTTTAGAGAGACCCATGTCTTTTTTGAGCCTAGATTTCCACATCTATAAATTGAGAATAGTCTCTATTAGTATTCTTTTGAGCTCTAGATGTATGTAAAACAGCACAGAGCTTAAATATTCAGTAAATGATACCCTTTTAAAAATTAAAATAGCTGTATAGATTCCTAATTATAAAAAATCATTAAAAAATTTTTCACCTAAACCCTCACTATTCAGAGGTAATACCACAGGTAACATTTTGGCCAATATCCTACTGAACATTTCTATGCAGATATATACTTACCTACATATGGACATACAACTTTATATAAGTAGTTTTTTTTATAAATAGATTATTAGTAGATGAATTTAAGCTATTTTTTTCTCATTCAGTAGTACCTCATGGATATTTAATATCTGCATTATCTATACTCCCTAACCATCTTAGAAATTTGACATCCTGCACCTTCCATGGTTTCTCTTTATGGTTTTCATCTCCAGTATGTCCTAAAATTATGGCATGAATTTAAAATTCCAAATAAATTAATATGTTTTTAGGATACTTTAATAATCTTTACAGAGGCCCTTCTGCTCTTAAGACTATCCTCTCAGATAATGCTAAGAAGAAATTTGGAGCAGAGAACAGTAGCAATAGAATAGCATAATTTCTGGGTCTCTTATGTAGAGAAACACACTGTTCCCTCTGATTACAGCCAGTGCGTGAGCCTGTTTGTTCTCTTAATTGCAGCACTGGTAAGGATCTGGGATTTCATCTCATCTAGAGATGTTTTGATTTTCAGTTGAGAAAGCTACGGCCCAGAGACCAAGTTAAGTACATTAGCCAGAATGACATAGCCAGGCCTCTTTGAGGAGTGAATGCACTTCATATTCAATGGCTATTTTTTAAAGAACAAATAACTTTCATAAAATAAAATGTATAAAGATTCCTTAAGTTGGGGATTCAGAAATAAAAAATTCCTTCCTTAGCCATCCATTTTGAATAGACTTTGTAGTGAGAATTTAAACATGAAAAAAGAGATCTTTTATTTTACAAGAGCAGAGGGATCTCAGTCCTAAAGTGAGCTTTGAGAATCTGGATTAAAATGCATGGCACTAATTTACTATTAGTCCTTCTCCTGTGTTCATCCTGTTCTTCTCCATACAAAATACTTGCCTTTATCTGTTAGAAACTGATTACAATTCATTGTGTTATTCTCATCACTTCTGAAGGCACCATACTAGTAATCTGGTGGCCTGGCCCTAACTTTAGGTTATATTTGTTAACCAGCCTTTACTGAGGGCATTCTGCATACTATTAGGCATGGTGCTACATGCCAGGAATGCATCCTTTAGGGCCTCCAGATTGCCTGAAGACAAACAGGAAGAAACATACGTGCAGCAGTCACAGTATAATGTTATGTTAGCCTGACAGCAACCACATGGTAGATGTCTTACAAATGAATAAATTCATATAATGGAGATATGTCTAAACTGAAGGAATCCCTGAGTCTATCTGGCAATATCAGGGAAGATTTCACAGAGAACGTGGACTTGAACTGAGATTTGAAAAATAACTGGGAATTTGTCTGTGGACCAAAAAATATAGGGTAGTTATTCCAACCAGAAAGAAGAGTACTCAAAAGCATAGGCTTGTGTTTGGATTGACATTTATTTTCCAGGAAAAAATCTGCTTCTGAAATGTTTTATTAAAGCTTGTATGATTTCTGAAATCTGATGTTTCCAAATATTCAAGAATCATGGGTAGTTGACCTGAGTTATCAAATTACCCAAACTGACAGACTAATAAACTACCTAACCTACATTTAAAAGTCAATAGGAAATTCCTTTTATAGCATTTCTCTTGAGTTTGTAATTTGAACTATTTTTATGCTATTATGCATAGAATTGTTATAATATATGCCTCTTTAAAAATAATCAAGTTAAATAAGTGAACTTTTCCAGAGCTAATCTACTGTGTTGTTTGGTATTTAATTTTTAGTCTCATATTCTGCTTTAGGAAAATAACAATGTCTTTTAAATTATTTCTGAATAGCCTGTGTATGTTACTGTTCTTTTATATATTTTAACACATTTTTAAGTAGTAGAGGAAAAGTTTGAACTAAAGATTAAATTAGCCCATTTTAAAAAGAAGCAGTCACTAACAGTTCCTTTGCTGGAATCAACCACTACTGATACCATCTTAAAAAGGTAGTGATCTTTACTTGATTCTAATTTATATTGATCTTTATTTGCGGGAATGGCATTAGATCATTTCTCTATGTATTGTTTAGTACCCTGGCCTGTGTTTTCCTTATAAAGAATTCTTTTTTGTCTAGAACTGTATTATAGGTAGCCATGTTTTTCCATGACTTGATTTCAGAATTCATGAACACAATCAATCTACTTGAATTTTTGTTGTGTCATTTCTTGCCCAGAACATCCCAAAATCACATCTCCCAGTCAGTGGTATTTGTGATCTGTCCTGATTATTGGCACTCCATTCTGAGTAATAGTAAACCCATAGGGAATGAAAAAAAAAGCCCTATCTTTATTTTCTCCAGCTTTCAAGCACAGATAATACTCAGTAAAAAGGTACAGATTCTGTGTGTGCAAGTTGGCCATGCAGCCAACACACATTTTAGACCTGTTTACCAGTTCCTACAATGTGCCTCAGTAATAAAAATTAAAGTTCTCCGCCAGTTGCCTCCTCTCTCATCTACTCTGTGCTCTACGAGTTCATTCTTTTTGGATCTCAATCTTTCATTATATATTCAGCCTTGTTTTTGATTCACTATTTGGGCTATCAAGAACCTGGGAATTATTTGGACTTTTTCATTAGCAATGCTAATTTTTTTTGTTTCATGTAATTTTCTGTTGGGTCTTTAGCAGTTACCATCTATTGGATACTTACACATATGCTATAATAGAATGTTTAAAATATGACCTCACTTTGTCCTAAATAATCCCTTTGAGATAGATGGCATTTTCACCAATTTCAGCTATAACTAAAGCACAGATTAACTAACAACCCAAAAGATCATAAAGCTAATAAGTAGCATAGAGAAGATTAAAACTGGATCTATCTGACTCAAAAGTCTATACCTGAGCTCTTCAGAGTATACCTTTATACCATACATCCTATAGATTACATTTTCATTCTGCATTCAGGGTTTAACATTTTAAAGCTTTGCTTCTGAGTACAGAAATGAATTTAAATGCCTAGATCCTTTTGCAAGCCAAATATAATTCCCTAATATCCCAAAGAATGAATCAGTATAAAATGTAAATGTAAAGTTGGTTAGATTTGGATATGTTTCAATTCATTTATCATTATATAATCTAGCTGTAACTGAAATGTCTGCATAGAGAAAAAGTTTTTCAACCTTGCCTACAGTCCTCCCCAAAAGTATTAAATTTTTAATCTGATTTTAATAAAGATTGTTTTTTATGAATTCTTCATTATTTAGAAGAAGTTAAAAACAGTTTAGTGGTTAAGAGCTCTAATTCTGGAATCAGAAGTTGTAACATTTACTATCTGGTAGACACTGGAAATTTTATTTAACATCTGTGAGCCTCAGAGTCCTTTTCTATAAACTGACCATGTGACCCGTCTCATAAAATTGTTATAAAAGTTACATGAAGCACTTGCCACAGTACCTTGCATAATAGGGGTTAACTATTAACTCTTGTTTAGTTAGATTTTGCAGTTTGTTCTTTGTGATCATTTGCTCTAGCATCCCTATCTTTGAGATGACAAGTAAAGCCCAAAAGAAGAACAAAAGCTAGCTTGAGGTTTGGTGGTAAGTTGGTAATGGACCTGTAACTAAATCCCAGTATTTTTGAGGATGGTTATGTTGCGTTGCTGTCATTATATACTTTTATTTTTTTCTTTTCACTTCTATCCAATGATTCTTTCTTTAATCCCATTGAAATTATTAAATTGTTTCCGTTTTGTCTATGCAACTATTTTAGTGTCATAGTAAGTTGGCATGAATACTTTTTCTTTTTTGCTTAGCTTAATTTTCTTCATACCCAAAATGGATCAAACTACAGTATTAGAGATGAAGCTTTAATGTTCAGAAGTGGAAGACAAAAATCTGTGGTCATTTATGGTTTTTATACTGTCCTCTTTGTCTTCTGCTAATCTCCTATGACATGAGACATCGCTTTCCACAGTAGTGGAGCATGCCTTATATTTTGAGTGCTGATTAAATAAGGCCCTCTGGTCTACCTACAAAATGGTAGTGATTTCAACAAGGATAACAGTACTTTCCCCTCTGTTCTCTCTTGTGTTGTAGAGTCGACAGTTAGAATCAGAAACAGGGACCACAGAAGAGCACAGTTTAAACAAAGAGGCTCGGAAATGGGCCACACGTGTGGCACGGGAGCACAAAACTATTGTTCACCAACAACGGGTAAGTGCAGTAGAGAATCGTAGGTTACATCTAACTTACGTACGTTACATCTAACTTAAGTCAAACATCAAACCAGTTTAAGGAGTTGAATTTTATTGTGTGAAAAATATCCAATAGATGTTTTTCCTATAACTCAACACTCAGCAGTGTTCTCCGGTATCTACTAAATACCTGTACAATATATCCCTATAGCTTATTAATTTTATGCATGTTTATGCCTCTTAATCCTCTACCCCTATTTTGCCCCACCACATTCTCTCTTTCCACGGGTAACCACTAGTTTGTTCCAAAATCTGTGAATCTGTTTCTTTTTTGTTATTTTCACTAGTTTGTTTTATATTTTAGATTTCACATATAAGTGATAACATATAGTATTTGTCTTTCTCTGACTTAAAAAAAAATTTTTTTATTAAATTTATTTGTAATTTCAGTGAAACTTTAAAAATGTTTTCAAAGGAACTTCAAAATCTGATCCTAAAATGTGTCTGATATCTGCCTGCCCAGCAAGAGAAATAGATTCGATTCCTGACTTGGGAAGATCCCCTGGAGGAGGGCATGGCAACCCACTCCAGGATTCTCGCCTAGGAAATCCCATGAACAGAGGAGCCTCGCGGTCTAGAGCCACGGGGTCACAGAAGAATTTGACACAACTGAATGACTAAATAGCAAAACAGCAATAGCCAGTAACAATAGTAATGAGACATTCGTAGCTTAGCACATACTGAAAGATGCAGTAATGACTATAGTAATTAAAGCTGTAGCATCATACAGGAGTTAACAAATGTATCAAAGAAAATGATCTGTGTATGTATGGACCTTTAGATATTGATTCAAAAAAGCACTATAAAAAATCATTTTTAGACAAGCAGGGAATTTTAATGATGAATAGCATATTAAGGCTACCAAGGCATTATTGTGACCAAGGGATTATTGTGAAGTCTGATAATGGTATTATGGTTGTATTTTTTTTTTAAGTTTTTAGAGATTTTTACTAAAACATGTAGGAATGAAATGACAAGATGTCTAGAATTTGCTTTAAAATGCTTTTCTATTAGCACAGAAAAATAAAGAATAGGTAAAACAAATGTGGAGGAGTTTCATTAACTAGTGAATCTTGGAGATCGATATTTAAGAATTTATCATACTAGTCTATTTTTGTATTTTAGTGTATTTAAAATACACTAGTCTTTTGAGTGTATTTAAATATTTCATAATAAAAACTTGTTAATGGCATTTCAAATCTTTGAGGAAAGGATTTACTCAGGAAATGGCATTATAACAATTATCTGTGTATTTGGAAAAATATATAAAGTTAGATTTCTCCCTTCTGCCATATTCAAGGTAAATTTCAAAAGAATTAAAGGCCTAAGTGCTAGACACAAGACTACTGAAAACTAAAAAAAAAAAAAAAAAAAAAAGAATATTTTTGACATATTACAAATGGTTTCTTAAGTAAGACACAAAGCCCAGAACCTATACAGTAAGATGATTGATGAATGTGACTACATAAAAGCTAAAACTTTCTGTAAAACAACAGGTCTTCTGAAAGTTAAGAGAAAAGCAATAGAATGGGAGGAAATATTTATGACATGAATAATGAAAAAGGACTCGTATCTAGAAGGAAATATATTTAAATAATAAAAAGAGAGGAAATTAGAAAAATGAATAGAGGATATGAAATGATGCTCTATTACAGAGAAACAAAAATTGAAACAGCGAGATAATCTTTTTAAAATTTCAAAGATTGATGGTATCCAGTGTTGGTGAAATGTAGAGAAATGTGCTCTTACACACTACTAGAAAAATAGGTACAGCCTCTTGTGGGCAATTTGGCAATGTCTATAAAAATGTACAATTTCTACTTTTATGTTTTTGCCTTAGATAAATATTCTCATGTGTTCAAAGAGTCACTGACTAGGTGGTTGTTGTTGGTGGTTAGTTGCAAAGTCTTGTCTGACTCTTTCATGACCTCATACACAGTAGCCTCCCAGTCTCCTTTGTCCGTGAGATTTTTCAGGCAAGAGTACTGGTGTAGGTTGCCATTTCCTTTTCCAGGGAATCCTCCTGACCCAGGGATCAAACCTGCATCTCCTGCGTTATAGGCAGATTCTTTACCACTGAGCCACCTGGGAAGCCCAGGTAGTTAACACAGTACTATTTATAATATTGAGAAATTTGAAAACTCAAGTGGTAGTAAAGTAAGAGTAAATAAAGTATGGTACAACTGAATTATAGAATCAGTGGATTAGAGAATGATGTCAGTCTATTTGTACAAACACACAAAGGTTTCTTAGACACATTTGATAGATCTCATTATTTTTTAAAACTGGGCAAAGTATATAGGAAATATATAATAAATGGTTTGATAAATACAAGTAAATTGATGGGACAGTGGTAATCTTGAAGTTGGGGACACTTGATAGTGTATGAAGCTGCAATAGACTTTTTGCCATTTTATATTAGTTGTTGTTTGGAAGCAGTGCTTTATATTCATGTAATTTTTAAGTTAAAGGTGTGCATATCAAAAAATGCAATTCAGATAAGATTTATAGACTTTGCCAATGTCAGTTTCTTGGATTTTATCTTATACGATAGTTAGACAGGTTTTTACTGTTAGGGGACCTGGGTGAAGAGACTTTCTGTCCTACTTTTGAAACTTCTTATAAGTCTGTAATTATTTCAGAGCTTTTTAAAAAAATTTCAAATAAATAAATGAAAACAAAGGTTAAAAAGGGAATCATGGAAACTTGTCACTAAAGTCTTTAAAATTATCTAGACGTTCTAGTCATTTAATAAAAAAAGAGAAAAATAGAAAACAATTATCATTTTCCTATTTTCTTTAATAGGTTCTAGATGATCTGGAGTGCCATGGAGTTTCAGTATCAGAGCAAAACCGAACAGAGTTGGAACAGAAAATAGATGAAGCTAAAGAAAATATTCGTAAAGCAGAGGTGAGGTGGGAGCTCGTTATGGTGTTTTGCCCAGCTCTAGTAGTGTCATAGCCGCGATGTGGACCTTTAGAATCCAGTCTCTGTACACTAATTTGAAGGGTGATTCACCATCTGTGTCCAAAGTATTATCTTTAAGTGTCTGTATCATACAGGGTAGCACACATAACAAAAAGACACTAAGCCCCCTATGAAGGGTTTACAATCATGAAACATTAAATAGCAAAAGAATTAGGCCACAATAAAGATTAATAGTACAGAAACTGATCCATGTAAATTCAGTGCCAAGAGTTGATTAAGCGGACAAGGCAAAAAAAAAAAAAGTTAAAGCACTGAATTTTAATCTTTTGGGGAGTCATGGAATCCTTTGAGGATTATATGACAGTATAAAGCCCTCTCTACCACAGAAAAATACACATTTTATGTGTAGTGTTCAGAAGTTCAGGTACCATACACTAATATTCTGTGACCTAGAGAGGGAGAAGTTGAGATGGAAAGAAAAGTTATTTGCAAAGGAGGAAGATACAGGATATAGTTTGCAGTTGGATTTGATTAGGATAGATTTTTGTAAGAAAATGTGGTACAAAGTAAGGAAAGTCATCATGGCTAAGACCAGTTCGTGAAGGACCCCTGCTCATTTGTATTTAGTTGCATATCCAATGCATCATAGTAAAGGGATGGAAGTAGACATTTAAAAAAAAGACTGAGAGTGTCCAGCTGTCAGTGAGAATACGTTCCTATTAGAAAGGCTGAAAGAATGCCCAAGATAGTTAAGACTCTAAAGCATAAGTGCCAAGGAGTGGTCTACACATAAGGAAACCAAAGGGCACAGGGGTCGCTGTGGGAGAAGTTATTAGGGCAGGTAATACAAAGAGGTAAAACTTAAGATGGGCATTGACAGATGAAAAAGGGATAGCACAGTTTTGTGCCCTACAACCTCAAGAAGCAGAGCTAGAACTAAAAGAAGAAGGTAGGAAGAAGGCAGATTTGAGCTTGCTACTGGGAAATACTTTCTAACAGTCAGATATGCCCAGTGGCAGAATAAGTTGCCCAGGGGTCTAATGCAGCACTGTAAGTGTATAAGAAGATTCTGTACAAGCACTTCTTGCATTGGATTGAGCATTAATCTAAACTAGTGATTTTCGAACACCCTCTCAGATCTCTAGAAAATTTGAGGAAGTGTTTCAGTGATTGAGGTGGGGCAAGGAGTGGGGGTTGGTAGTGAGCAGAAAGGCAGCATCAGCAAAGACAGGGAATATGAGTGTGTTTGTGACACCGCCCGTGGAAGTGATCTGAGCCAGACAAGGCTTGCTGTCTACCTGGCCTGGAGAAGACCCAGTAACCCCAGCTCACCTTTATTCCTAGCACATGACCCACAGCCTCCATAGTAAAGAGAGCAGTGAACAATAAATAGCCCTTTTCCTCACTGAATTCAAGGTCATGGCTAAACAGCTGCCCTAGGGTGCTGGCCAAGTACATTGGCAGCCTCTTGCCTAGTCTGAGAAACATGGACTTGTGTAGAAGAGCTTTTCTTGTTTGATGTTTCTCCAAACTCTGGGTGAAGTCCATTTCAGAGTCTTGACAGGACAAGTCTCAGAAGTTTTCTGAAGGGTGTGTTCTCTCTTGTATTTTCCATTTCCAGACTTCATCCATAGTGTCACCATCTGGTACCTATCTCCACCATGCCCTCCAGTAATAGCAGTAGTAGGTATCAGTCACATAGTCTGCACTTAGGCTGAATGACCTGTTATTTCCATGAATATGCTAAACTGCCCTGTGTTTATAAAGCCTAAAATATGAAGTGAGATTCACACAACAGAATGTCTCATCTCTCCTAATACTAGTATGTAAGTCTGCATTCTCAAAGATAATTTTTTTACCAGAAATATGGAATATGCTAAAAACCACAATGCCAGAATCATTATCTGTTTTTATAACCCAACTAAAATTAGATGGCAAATATGAGGGTATTATTAGGGGATTATGTGTAGTATTGTCATGATGAGATTTTCGTATAGGCTAGACCATGAGAGCCTTCAGAGGAATTGACAGTGATATTTTCAATAGATTTCCTTTTTCTTTCTTCTGCCTATATATCATTTGCATTGGATTTTCTCGTTCCATTCAACAGTTACTTACTTTATTATAAATACTGAAACAGAAGGGAGAAGAAACTAGTTAAAAATCCATTATATCCTTTATGTTTGGTGTTTAACTCCTACAACATGAATCCTACCCTCCCTTGTTGGTTAATCTGCTTTATCTAATCTTTTCTATATTGTGTTTCCATTTAGTGTTGCTAATGAGAATAGAAGCCTTTATGGTACTCAGTGATAGGTTCAAAATTTTTTTCCAGTCATAAGAAATTGAAAATGTAAATGGCCTGTGCTTTTCTAAAGAATAAGAATAGATTACTATTTCCAAAGAACAGTATAATAGAGGTTGTATAGTGATTAAATAATTATTGGCTGGTTAATTTCAGGATGGACTTTTTGATTAGTTTAACAAACACTTAATGAGTGTCTCCTGTGTGCCAGATTCTGATGAATATACTAGACATAAACTGATGAACAAAATTATTGTTACATTGTTATGATCTCTATAGCTACTAGCTGTGCTACTCTTTGTAGCCCCTAGTTGAAGAATTGAAATGAGGCAATAGCTGCTCAAATTAAAATTTTAAAGTTTTCTTAATCTGGTATTTAGGTATTTGAATTTTTTGAAATGTCTTTTGTCGTACACATACACGTTTCTTGATCTGACATGCTGGTGCTCAGTCACATCAGTCATGTCCAACTCTCTGTGACCTGTAGACCATAGCCCACCAGGCTCCTCTATCCTTGGGATTTTTCTGGCAAGAATACTGGAGTGGGTTGCCATGCCCTCCTCCAAGGGATCTTCCTGACCCAGGAATCAAACCTGTGTCTCCTGTGTGTTCTGCATTGCAGGCAAATTCTCTACTGCTGAGCCACCAATATCATACCCATTTTTAAGATAGCTTTTCAAGAAACCAGGAGTTTTAAATGCCCTTTCTGGAGCTGTACATGACTTGTGTTTCAGGACACAATTCTCTTGTACTTGAGTAATTCAAAATTACAGTGTCACTTTTGTACTCAAAGACTGCAAAATGGTAAGACCTTTGCCATAATGCTGTAAGGGAAGTAAAAAAAAACTTCAGTTGCATAAAATTTGAGGCCTTATTGTTGTTTAGTCACTAAGTCGTGTCCGACTCTTTTGTGACCCCATGGGCTGTAGCCTACCAGGCTCCTCTGTCCATGGGATTTCCCAGGCAAGAATATTGGGATGGATTGCTGTTTCCTTCTCCTGGGGATCTTCCTGACCCAGGGATCAAACCTGTGTCTCCTGCATTGCAGGCAGATTCTTTACCATTGAGCCACTTGGGAAGCCCCTGAGTACTCATTGCTACAAGGTTAATGAAATGCTAAGGATGACCCTGCTATAAAAACAAAATTTCCAGTCATATATATCCAAATTTATATTACCTTCAGACTAGTTTATTGTGAGGTGACACTGTACTCTTATAATGTAGTATGTTGGTAGACATCTTAACTAATCACTTTTTTCAGTTTTTAATGGGAAAATTTTTCAAATGTACAAAAAAGATGAGTATTTCTTTCTCAACATGCTAAATCAACTATTAATATTTTACAGTATAAAATTTATGAGTGTATTTCTGTGCTATAAATTGGAAGTTTAAAGGCCTGATCATAGTCTTATTTTAGGCAAGAATACTTTATAGATGGTACTGTTTTTCATCATAGTATGTTTTTATCAAGTTTTCTCACAATTGATGCTAAGAATAGTCACTTTCAATTTAGGTGGTACTACCAAATCTTTCCGTTGTTAAAGTTCTTTCTTCTTTTTCCATTGCAATTACCAAGTATCCAGTGGCAGCAAGTGAGTCTTTTTCTTCCTTTCTTAAGTATCATTACAATGTCATGGAATTTTAAAAATCAATTTTATTAAGGTATAATATACATAAAATGTAACCGTTTCAAGTAAACATTCTGATGTGCTTTGACAAATGCATAGCCCTGTATATCCACCTCCACAACCAAGACAGCAAGTATTTCTATCATCCCCAAAAGTTTTTTTGTGACCAGGCAACAGATGATCTGCTGTCAAATAGGTTAGTTCAATTCAATCACTTGATATTGTCCTACACATCACTTATAAAGATCATCTCACACACTTTACCAGCCTTATTTTTTTTATCATAATCTCACTTTGATGAGTTGTTATGTATTCAAATTCATGAATCTTTTCTTCTGTAGTTATAACCTGCTATTAAGACTATCCTGTGAATTTTGATTTCAGATATTACATTTTTAGGTCTATAAGTTCGGTTTGGTTCCTTATATCTGCCTGTTCACTCTTGTTTATTTTCATGATGTCCTTTTAGTCCTTAAGTATATTTATAAAAATGACTTTAAAGTTCTCTTCTACTCATTCTATGATTTCTGACTCTCTTTCTACTGACTGGTTTTTGCCTTTGGTTGTGGCTTGTGTTTTTCTCTTATTCAAATCTTAGTACTGTTTTTTTGTTTGTTTGTTTTACTGAATACGAGGAACAGTGACTGGTTATTGAGTGTCTGGATTCTCTTTACCTCTGTTAAAGCCTGTTGAGTTTTGTTTGGGCAGCCAGCTCACTTTGATCTGCAGATAAGTTAGATCTGTTCAAGACTTATTTCTAAGCTCTGTTTAGATTGGTTTAGAGTAGGCTTTCCAATAGGGCTAGTTTAGGCTTATTACTAATGGATCTCCTTTCTGCCATTTCTTCTTACGCCTTGAGAATCCAACAAGGTCTCTGGTCTCTCAGCTCTGGCTAGATAGAACTGCAACATCTTTCAGCCCTATACAATCTCTGGGAGTTTTTCAGTTCACAGCTTCATGGTAGACATTCTTTCCATAGTACTTATTCTTTGTGTCTCCTCATGGAGTCCTACTTTATGTACTTTCAATTTATTATGGATTTTTATTCA